GAGGTGCAACTGCTACATTGGGAAGGTCTCTTTCATCCTTGTCATTCGTTCTGATATCAGCCTGTGGGACCACCTGTAGGGACACAGAGATAACTCATCAACATGATGGTCATACGAACATTAAGCTTAAGTGGGGCCAGGTTGGAATCATTTCTATTCATCTGATCACATGATGAAATAGTCAAACACTGTGCAGGCAAAATACCATTGCTTTCTTCTCATGCTAGAAATTGGGTGTCACCAACCTGATCTTGTGAAGGATCATAATGCTTATGGTGGGAAGAAAATCTCCTTGTTGATCTCTTATCAACTCTACCCTCCATTCTTGTTCTTGATGCACCAACAACATCTAAACCCAATATATACATGTAAAATAAAATTAACTCACCAAAAGTGCATAAAAAGAACATAACAAGTAGTTATCGATGAATCTACCATCCCAACAAAAATCTTCCAAGGCATATTCGATACATTTTCCTTGTTTTGGACCATTTGTGAAACCACATTTTCCACCTTCAGCAAACGAATTACTTTTCTACGCCCTAATTATACCATTTCAATTAATATCTCTAAAAAAATCTCCCTCCTTTCTCTCCTACCAAACAACATTTTCTTTTGATTTCAGAGTTTCTTACAAACCACCGCTAAAAAATGGCTATTAGCATCGGGACAGTTCATTTCTTGATTTAACAAAGGATTAGCAGCGAAATATTTGTATAGAATCTTTTCAATATATATCAACAACAGATTTAGCAACGGAAAATCCGTTGTTGTTATTTACCTTTTCCCATCTTTTTAGTAATGAACCAAATCAATCTTTATCCGCTTAATCGGATGGAGTATTTTCTTTTGAAATCATTCAAGTTCAAGTCCTTCTTTTACCACTTTCATGACCATCCCCATTGTTTACATCCCATCATTAAGACATAAATTAATCCAAGTATTTACCTAATTAATTAAGAAACTCTCATTTTCTAACACAACATGAAATCATACAAAATTAACATGATATGGAGCCAAGCATGCTTGATCAGTGATCATCAACTCCAACAAAGAACACAGAAAATATCCTCAACAAGAAAGTCAAGATTACACCAGTAGTTAAGCTAAACAAGAAAAACAAAACAAATCATGATTAACATTGATCAAGATCCTTAAAATCCACAAAGGGTAATTGCCAAAATGCACCTCGGGTGCAGTTAACAAACAACGGGGTGTTGTTATTTTTACCTGGGGTGCCATGTTTCTTCTTTCTCTGAGATTTCAAATCAAGAGTTGACTCTGAACTGTCCGGCAAGTACCGGTCCAGACGAAGGAGAGGGCCATTGTTTTCAAGCATTGTACGGACAAACGATGCCTCCATTGATTGCAAGAAGTGCAGGTGTTCCTCGTTTGTCCAGTTATGTTCAGTTTTGTTACCTTTGTTCCTGTTGTTGGACATGTGAGGATCCATGCCACCAGAAAATTCAGCTTGCTGGGATCAGAGGCCGGGAAAAGGATTTATGGTTGGGGCTTTTTCTTCCTGTCGTTGCAATTTTCAAGTGATTTTGGGGTTTCGCCAATGGTTTCATGCCTAGATATATAGAGCTTGTTGTTTAGGGTGGTTTTTTTTTTATTATTATTCTTTAAGAACCCTCCTTGTGGCTACGCTTGTTGACACGAGAGTACTCAAAGTCTGTACTCGCTTTCGTAAATGAACACGTGTATTTTATTTTATTTTTATTTCTTTTCCCTGTATGAATTAGAATAAATATAGTATTCCTTCAAGTTTTAACTAGTAGAATTCAACCCCAATTAATTTTAATGAAGCACATATCATGTTATAGATTTTCTTTCTTTATTTGCATTTGAGATTTACCTTCATAATTATTTTTTTAGTATATACTTTTTCACATTTTCTTAATTTAGTGTGTGAATTTTATTTTATTAAAAAAATATGAATATGTTTTGTCTTTACAGAAAAACACAATGAATCATGTAAAGAAAGATGGGATCAAGTACCCAGTTGAACATGTAATTTTATTTATTTTATTAATTCAATATGTAATTATCCCAGTCAAGAAAACTAGGGTTAATTGAATTATTGTTAATATTTTTTAAAGAGAGAGAGACAGAGAGAGAGAGTACGGTTGGTTTTAGGGTAGTCGAGGAGGTGGGTGGAATGGAGGGGGCATGTAAGTGAAAATATCTCATGAGGGCCAAAAGATCAAAAGGTTGGAACCGAAAAAGAAAGATATTTTCGGGGGACAAGAAAGAATCCTTCTGCATAAAAATCTAACATTCGAGTTTTAGGTTACGCTCCCGGTGGGTTTGATTTTTTTGTTTTGTGTTTATGTTATGACCCTTGTTTTCTCTCCTAATTTACATCTGTGCCCTCCTCCTCCTCCTCCTAATGGTCAAACTCTTGAGCTGTTGACTATCTTTCCTGGTTTACAAGAATTTATTTGTATGCTCCCTAGATTTTCCTTTCATGGCCAGTCCACCATGACCATGCATGATTTTAGATATACTATGACGACTAGTATTTCTCAATTACATTATTATTATTTACTGATGAGAAAATCATATTTGTTGAGACTCCGATAATCAAATAATCGTATGTAAAATAAAAAAAATATAATTATTATATATGTGTATATATGAAGTATTTCAAATGAAGAATACTTGAAATTAGGAATACGTCATACGTATGCATCTTGATGGCTAGAAAGTTGAACTTAATAAATTGGGGGGTAAAAAAGGAAGGGAATAAAAAATAAGTTAAAATAAAGAAATATGAAAGAAAAGATTAGCTCCTAAACAAAGTCCAAATTGGCAAACAAATCTTGAAATTCGAAGAATATCATGACAATGAGCAATATTACCCTAATTTTCAAAGAACACTTCAACAATCGAGATTAAACATTTTCATTGTAACATTTACGATTCAAACATTAAGAAAATGGAACGAGGATTAAAAAAAATAATTAGAGAAGAGCCGTTCCACTCTATGTAGACAAAAAATGATAATTAATAATTAATTGGACCTCTCTTTGCATGTCGTTTATATATATATATTTGAAGTAAAATTATTTGTCATCTCTTTTAATTTAATTTTAATTTTTTTGAATTTAATAGGAATACCATCTACTAGTTTAGCCTTTAACCCAATAAAAACCATGTGCAGGCTGTGCAATGCTTCTTTGGTTTGGAATAAGAGAAGTAAAAGTGCTAAGCTTAATTTAATAGGATTTTCAACTTTGTAGTGGTTTAAAATCAATCTTAATTTAATAAAATTTTTAACTTGTAGTGGTTTAGAATCAACTTGTAGTAATTTAAAATCAACTTAATGATTAGTTCAAAACCTGGTTAGATTTATTCAGATCCTGGTTAGATTTATTCAAACCCTGATTAAATTTGGTAGAACTGACATATTAATTTAATCAAAATTTAATTTGATTTTTTTAAATTTAGAATAAACTTAATGATTTGTTGAGATGATTAGATTTAATAGAACTGACATGTTAATTTGATCAAAATTTAATTTAATTTTTTTTAATTTTATATTTGATTTGATTTTTATTTTTTTGAAAAAACTTAAAATTACATTGTTTTGGATTGATTTTAGCTAATTTTTCCAACCTATAATCCCGGTCTCAAGCTAAAATCACAGATCAAGCCAGTGAAATAAGAATTGAAAGGGATGGTAACGTGCATAGCAAAATATCGAGTAATTCATTGGGCTTTCTTTGTAGTGGCTGGCGTACGTCAAGAGAATTTTCATGGCAGAAGGCTGTTTAATCATGTGTTCACTCGGCCCACAGCCTAATCAAGACGACCCTCATCGTGTGTTGAGCCAAGCCTGCAAGGTCCATGCTCTTTGACCTTTTTCCCTGGCTATTACAAGACCACGTGATGGAAACCCCCCATGCACGTGGGGCTCGATGCCTGTACTAATCACACACTGCCATGTGGTGATATCCATCTGGCAATCCACTTGAATTGACTGCAGACCTCGTGATCATAGGCGAACATGACAGGAACAGCAAGCGGTAGGGGTCGGTCTGCCACGTCAAGGATTGAAATACAAAGAAAGAGAGAAGGAAAGAAATGTCCCTGATTTATTTTAAATATAACTCTAATTATTTAATGTATAATAAATCTTAATTAAAACTAACCTAAAAAATGAATAAATAAAATAAAAATGATACACGCGCACGTATCTTTCGATTTTTAACAAAGAGGATTAGCATGTCACTTCAATCCTTAATCGCCATGTTTTCTTAATATATTTTATCAAATTCGAACATAATTTTCCCACGTTAGAGCCTCTTTGTTTTTTATTTTAAAAATATTTTTAAAAAAATTATTATTTTTTATTTATTTTAAATTAGTATATTTTTAATATTTTCAAATCTTAATATTAAAAATCATTTTTAATAAATAAAAAATATTTTTAATATAAAAAATTATTTAAAAAATAACCATACAACCTCCGACACTAAAAAAAAATCCATAATGCCGTCCCTTTCTTCTTCTTTTTTCATTAAAAATTACCTTAAAATTATACATCCTCACGCAATGTCCTTCATAGTGAACTAAGAACATTTACTGCAAACTAAGGCTTGGCCTAGCAGTGGAAGGAGTTTGTCTCCTTTCACCGCACCTGGGTTCAAATCCTAGCGTGCACGTTTGTCACCCTCGCGGTGCCTTACATGCTTACTGAGTTTGCAGAATATTTAATGGGCCGTGGGGATTAGTCATGGCACGCTCAAGCTGACCTGGACATCCCACGTAAAAAAAAAAAAAAACTAAGAACATTTACCTCCCCAACCTTATATACACACACACACACACATATCATAGACTGTAGACGGGTGGATGATGTACACTAATGTTTTAAAAATTATTTTTGATATGCATATATTAAAATAATTTAAAAATATTAATTTAAAATGAAAAAAAAATCTTTTTTCTATCAGAATTCGAAAGAACAAATATTGTTTGGAAGTTCATCCTGCGTTTAAAAACGAAAGTGAAGCAACAATTCAGAGTGAGGTTTTCATGTACATCTCTAACCTTGAAGAAGAAGTGACTGGAGGCATGCGCATCCATTTTAATGGAAAGTTTCCATGTACAGCTCCGTAAACACGATGATGACTTTGAAGAGATGACATGATCTAATCCATAATCCGGCATGGGAGGCGGATCAACTCTTCACAGAGAAAGGGAGGACTGACGTGATTTTGCTGCATTTGGCAGCACATATATATAAGCTTTGAGAAAATGCCTCGACTCAGAAACTGTTCATGAGCAAATAATTTAAAGCTTGCGTATTGGCATTCACGAAGAACCTCCAAAAAGAGAGACTGCCCCATTAAAACAAACAAAGGCAGCTAGAAATGACCTCAACAGATGGAGATTTTGGAGTGCCTACAAAATTGCTGGAAAGAAATCCTGTAAAAATAAATAAAACAATATCAATCCTCAAAAGCAATGATGAAGATACTAAATAGTAATGCCTTTCATTCTCATAATGAAGATGAGGTGGGTTGCCTCGTCGGACAAGCACTTTTTGGTGATGGAGCAGCAATCATAGGCTCAGATCCTGAAACGCAGATAGAAAAGCCTCTATTGCAACTCGTTTCTGCGGCACAGGTTATGATTCTTGACTCGGAGCAGGCAATCGAGGACCATACTGCCGAAATGGAGCTATCGATCCATTTATCAGAGGATGCGCATGAACTGATAACCACTAACGTTGACGCGGCTCTTCGAGAAGTTTTGACCCCAATTGGTGGTGGTTCAAGTGATTGGAACTCGTTATTTTGGGCTGTACATGCAGGAGGGCGAGCAATTCTTGACGAGGTAGAATCGAAAATTGGGTTCAAAGTAGAGAAACTTGGCGTTGCTAGGCACACACTAAGTGAGTATGGGAATTTGGCAAGTGCTTGTGTGCATTCCTTGTACTTGATGAGATGAGGGAGAGATCTGTCATGGAAGGCTAGGCCAGTAAAGGGAAGGGCTTGAAGTGGGGTGTTCTAATTGGGCTGGGACCTGGTCTAACCATGGAAACCCTTGTATTGAACTGTGTGTCCCTGCTGCGATTACAAGGAAGTCGAGCTCTTGACTGGCTCAATGTCTTCCTTCCATAGCAAGTGCAATCCAAGCTAACAAGATCTCTTTTTGCCACTTGTATGATTGTACTTGTTTTGCAGTATAAACTAAAGGGTTCTTAGCTCTTCTGCTTACGCCCCAAAAACAAACTAGCAGTCTCGAAACAAAAAGAAATAAAAGGCATATGAAAAGGACTAGATGATATTAAACAGGGAAGCAAACTTCGACAACATTCATTATGCAGTAATTTCTTAAATTACAAAACATTCGATCCCAAACACGCAATTTACCATCCAAAAAAACAAGAACATACCATTTTTTTCATTCAAGGTTGGTATGGCGAGATCGAATGACCTCAGGGCTCTGTCCTAAAGCCTCACCTAACTTGTAAACAACCATCTCAAAGAACACAAACAAGGCCCCCTCAAAAACACTTCCCATTGGCATCAAAGGCCTAGATTTCTCCTCTCCGCCATCGCCATCACCCTTATCATCAGCCATGGTCTGTGCTGGCAGATAACAAACCACGCTAGCATGCTTCACACAGGATCCTGTCTCAGGCTGAGCCGTCAACAACAACACTGTAGCACCATACGATCTTGCGAGTGAGCATAAGGCATCAACAGTTGAGAATCCTCCAGGTCCAGCAGAGGCTATGAGGAGGTCATTTGAAGTGATTGGTGGGGTTGTCATGTCAAAGACAAAGTGGGTAGAGATGCCAAGGTGAGCCAGCCTCATGCACAGAGCCTTGAGCATCAGGCCCTCCCTACCAACCCCATAGAGGAAGACACTACCATTTTGGGCTGCCGTGGAAGTGAGAGTGGTGACCATGAGGTCTAAGGGTGGTGGGTGGGGGCCAGTGGGTTTGGCAAAGATGGAGGCCATGTGATTGCATATGCGTGACGCTAGAGAGGACATTGAAGCGGTTTCGGTCCCCATTGTTTTCTGCTGTATGTTTTGTCTTTCGATTCTTGTTTTTAAGTTGTATAGTACATGAAGGGATATCTATCAGGAAGAGTGTGTGGACTGGATTGAGTGAGGAAGTGAACAGAGTAAGCAAAATGCGCCACCCATAAGCAGCTTCCAATTGTAATGACACATGGAGTTACCATATGTTCCAAAAGCGAACCTTAACATAAGACCTCACGTTACCATAGGTTACTCTCGGTTGCGAGAGACAAGTGTTCGATCACCAAAACACGAGTACTTTATTTCGCTTGCTGAATTTTCAGCCACAAAAACTTCTTTTTTCGCTATCTTTTACTCGCCATCTTATAATAACTTCTAAAAAAGCAATGTCGTGCAAAGCTTGCCATCAAAAGGATTAGGGCAACTCTGACCTTCTCATAAACAACAGAAAAATGGTCAGTTGAGCTCATCCTATGCACTTTGCAAGATAATACACACCAAGTAAAACCATAGCCAACAGCAACAAAAGATTCAATTATCCATAAAAGAAAACACATGTTTATTTCCTTCGGAGGAGAACAAGGGTGCAGCTGCAACCAAAAAGTTGTCTCATGACAATTGACAATGCAAGGCTCAAAATCTATTTACAAATTTCAAGTAAAATCACACATGAAAACATACAAATCAGGAAAGGTTACATCTTTGTGTTTGAGAGAAGGTAAGATACATCTTGTTTTGTAACAAAATACCATGAAAGTGCCAAAACTGTCAGCTTCTCAAGTGTCAGATTGGTTTGATAGCCTCTAAACCCCATTAGCTGGAGGTGAAGAATTTTTGTGTGAAGTTGCAGTACCTTCTTCAATCTCTATATCTCTCACACCAGCAGTTAAAGATGAAGTGCCCTCCTTCTCGACACCATTCGCTTCATCATCTTCGTCCTCTAGGAAAGAACCCTTCCGCCTTAGTTCCTTCACTTTCCGAAACTCATCATAATGTGCTCGTCTAAGCTCCCTAAAACTTGAACTTCTATCCGTTTCAGAATCTGACGGTGGAGGAACAAAGAAAGTCCATCAAAATCATGCTGGGAAATGAACTGATGAAAGCAGAACTATTAAAACTACATTAGAGGGAAAGAAAGAAAAGATGGCAATGATTTTGAGAGATCGGTAATCTTGAGCAAGGAGAGGCACTTGCAGAAATATACAAACTAAGAGAGCTAAAAAGATGGCAACAATTTTGCACGAGGGAAAGTGCATACAACCCTAACCGCAAGCACAACAATCAAGGACATTTAAGCTTCAAAGAAAATCATAGCTATATACAATGGTGAAGGTGAAAACCTAACTAAAGAGAACTCGTGTGTGAGCTATATATACATCCTTCAGTTGCTGATGAGATGATTGATGGAATCTAAAAATTTATGTCTGTTAAACAAAAGATTATGAGGGAGAATAGAAGAACAAAAAGCACCCGATACCTTCTGTTTCTTCACAGATACCTTCCCAAGAAATTAATATACATGATAAAAATGATTGGCGCAATGCTAAACTCTCACAAGTTGCAACCACAAGGGAGCAGGGTTAATCATTCAGAGCAGTCATTTCATGCAAAAAATGCAGAAGAAACAGACTTCTCCGAATTCTCTCACAGAGTCCCACTTTCATGTGATCAAAACTGGATAATGGCATGCCAGTACAACAGTGAAAGCAATAACACAAAATTGATTCAAAGATTGTATGGTTGTCTATGCAATCTATGGGTTTAAGTTTAAAGTAAAAACACTTAAACTGAAGAGCAAAGATGCAATGATGGACCTTCTTCATCTTGTTCCATAGGATCAGCCTCATCCTCAGATGATGTCCAGCCACTAGATCGTTTAGTTGGGTTTCTACTTGAGGATGCCATAATATCCAATGCAGACCTCAGATCTTCTGCACGCATTGCATCCTCAATAACCTCATTAAAGCTGCCCCCCCTTGGAGAAAGAGAATCTACAATAGGAAAAAAAAAAAAAACCAGCATGGAACCTTTGGTTAGTGTCTAGGAAGATGTCATATTTTACAGACAAAAATTAAAGAGCATATAAGGAATTCTATCCAATCTTTTAAAGCAGCAAATTTAGTGAAAAAAGCTTTATGCAGTTATCCAGTAATCAAAAAGAAAACTCAAACCAAAATTTGGGAAATACTAGACAAAACTCAAATCATAAAGGCTTGACTCCATCATATTGGTACTCTTGAGAGTTAACACCTGCAAAACACTACTGTACAATTTGATGGACATTCAAATGCTAAGTAAATAACAGTATTGCAAAAAAGAGATAGATCAACATACCATCATCAACATCAATCATGGGGTGATACGGGGTCTTGGGTTCAGTGATTTTCTGCCTCACAGGCTTATTTGCTTCAATTTCCACAAGATTATCCTCGTTCCATTTTACTCCCCTGTTATCACCCCAATACATATGAACAACATGAATACAAATCTTACAACAACTCACGACTAAATAAAAACATAGATGTAAACTAAACTGCAAAGACGGTATAAATCATTAAGAAAAAAACAAACAGGAAAACCCAATTTCTCACTCGAGCAATCAAAATACAGGAATTTACAAAGAACCCACCAATAATAATACTCTACATAAACAACTTCCATAAACTATATTCTATAATCATTAAGGAGAAAACCAAAAACCCATTTTTCTTTGCTGATTCCTAGCATTACAATCATAATACAAACATCCATAGATAACTAAAGAAAAGAAAACCCATGTTTTGTTTATTAAAGATAATTAAGAACACTAGCATGCAAGAATGCAAACAAATGGAAACTGAAAAAATCACTTCATCTTTTTGGCGGCTACGAAACAGCTGCAGATTGACCTGATTCAACAAAGACAGAGAAATTTGTCAAATTCTTGATAAAATCAGATTAAACATACACTTAAATAATAAAACAGATCATTAGAATTAAAAAATAAACAAAAAATTCAAAATTTCTTTCTGGGTTTAGAAAAAATGACAGATTGTGCATGATTTAAGTAAATTTAATGGTAATCAATCAATAAAATAAGGAAATAAATACTATAGAAAGTAATAAAAGTGATTATAATAATTAAATGAAAAGAAAAATGAGAGAAAGAGAAGATAGATCGGTACCTGTTTGTGAAATGTTCTGCTGACTTCTGTTTTGCTAGCAATCAAAAAAATGGCTCGTTTTGGCTTTTACTTTTTTCATTTATCATCTCTTAACTCTCCTGCTGTTTCCAAAACTACCCTTTCATATCTTTAACGGCGTGTTTGGAATTTGGACAAGTAGAAAGAAAGGAAGCATCGAGAAAAACAAAAGTAATTAAACACGGTTTTACTACATCAACCTGAAACATTTCATTTTTTTTAAATAAAAATAGTATAGTTTTAATTTTTTTTTTAAATCAAAGTATATTTTAAATAGATCATAAGTTAATTAGATAAATTTATTAAGCGTAAAATGCTATTTAATTTATTATAAAACCTGATTTAGATTACAAAAATAATGAGTAATGGATTTGAGATTTAATTATAAATGAAGGAATTTATTAAATTCAACTAAAGTAAAGAGTTTAATCTGATAAAATTTATACATTAACATTAACCTTTTTTTAAAAAAAAATCACAAAAATATATTCAAATTCTAGATCACTTAAATTTTTTTTTTTCATTAATGTCAGTTAAGCTCCAACTTATTAAACAGAAGAACTTCTATTTTTATCGATTTTGATGATCCCTCCTTTAAAACCATCCAAACATAACCTAAGCTTATTGAATATATAAATAAATAAATAAATTACCTCACAAAAAATAAAATAAAAAAGAGTGAGAAGCTCTGAAATCACATGTAGATTTGAGCAGGAGAAGAGCAGAGCATCAGCAACTACTACTCTTTATTATTATTCTCTCTTTCAATTGTCACCAAACTGTAAGACTCCTTACTCTTACATGCATGTGCCTTTGATTTTTTCCATAACATATTTTATTTAAAAGAAAATGTTTTGCTTTTTTTTTTTTTTGTCAAGTTTTTATGATTTTCAATGCTAAAAAGCAGCTGGGTTTCTCTCAATTTTCAAGCTTGTGCTCAATCTTTATTTTGGGTCACTTTTACTTTGATGGTTTTTGAGGTGGGAACTTGAGATTTACATGTGATTCAGTTTCTTATTAGTGTATTCAAATCCAGATCGTGATTTTAATCTATCTTTCTGGTTTTTGAAGATGGAAGTTAAGATTTTTAGTTATGTAATAAAAAGAAAACGGGAATGTGATTTGATTTGATTAGATTGCCACTTTTTGTGACAATTGCAATGATGGCATGTGCAGAGATTAGGGGAGTTTTAGTTGCCAATATGAGCAAATGGAGAGAGGTTAGTCGAAAGGTTAATTGCCTGCCGAATTCAGTGTTTGTTAACAATGATGTTTGATTATGCGTTCAATAACTTTTAGTGGTGTTAGAAACCTAAATCAAATTATTAGTGAATATACAGAGGGATACGGTATGTGGATAAGGTAGATTGAGTTGGAATTCTCTGTAATGTGGATTGTTTCTCATTGTATTTCAGGATTGTTAATCAACGATCAGGAGAGTAATCTATTCAGAATCGTGAAGTTTGTTCCTTCTAAGACTTGAATGTTAGAAGGAACAACTGATTGATAAGATTAGACAACACAGAGATGTTCTCGTTGTTTTATGGCCTTTGGAAGTATATGTTTAGTAAGACAGAGCTTCATGTGCTTATTCTTGGGATCGACAAGGCTGGGAAGACGGTAATGCTTTTCTTTTGCCTTGATAGTTGAATCCATCATAAGGTTTACAGAATTGCTCTTTTCATTTATCTATAGTTGCCAGAGAGTTCACTTATTGTCAAGTTTTGTTTGTGAATTGGTAGACATTGCTGGAGAAACTGAAGTCATTATACTCAAACTTGGAAGGCCTCCCTCCTGATCGAATTGTTCCAACTGTTGGACTTAATATTGGTCGTATTGAAGTGGAAAATTCAAAACTGTTGTTTTGGGATCTAGGAGGTCAGGTATGTAAAGTTGATAAAAAATTATAAACTTTCTGAAACTGTCTAA